GGTGGCAAATATATATATATATATATACTCGCTTAATTAGATGTTTAGAAAAAATCTTCCAATCAATCACGGTATAAATACCGTATGCCATGCGTGGTTCGGAGTAGTAACATCTCATAAACGCGTACACGGACCCGCTGTTCAAATATAAAAATAAATAGACATCATCAATGTTTTTTTTTCCTTCTCAGCTTACATCCACGTCATTACCAATTTTTCCTTTCCTCAAATCATCGCATCAGTTTGCTCTGTTTGTTTTCAGGTCTGCGAAGAAGCTCGCTGTCCAAATGCCGGTGTTTGTTGGGGTGGTTCTCATCAGGTGGCGACTGCCACTATCATGGTAAGTTTATGTCTCTGTTTGTGTGAGAGGGGTGAGAGGAATGAGTTGGTAATTGTATGAGGAGAGTTCAGAGCCACGTTTACGTGATCAAAAGCCAATTAAGAGTCAGGCTTATTCTTGCAACTGGAACAGATGGGCGTAGAACATGCATGGAGATTGTGAGACGGGGACAAAAAGTTATGGTGAATAAGTGTTAAATGGAAGATTATTTTTTATATCCTAATAGTATTTTGCACCTTTGAGAAGGCGTTTATTGATTTACACCGACCACGTGCCATCGGAGAGTCATTGCATTGGAACTACCTTTTTATTGCTTACCGGATTTAGCTTGCTACTTATTCACTTGGAGTTCGTCTCAGTAGATGCCTGATTTACGAATAGGTTCGAGATATTTACTGGATGATATATTTAACCAAATCATGTAGATAAATTAATGCTCAGTAGTCACAGATTTACTATTCAGTCCCAGCAGCAAGCTCCTGCTGTGAAACCTTGCATCAGGATTGTAGTTTCAATTGTGTAACACAATCATTCTTGCACTTTTATGTGGCTAGCCGTAGTTATTTTCTCTTGGTGACCTAATTAACCGGATCAATGAAGAATGGAATAACATTAAATGTTGAGTTGAAATCGATAATGATACAGAATAAGAGTGAGTTATATGTGCTATGCATAAACACTATCAATCATGACGCTGTCATATGACTCGTTGTCTCTAATTGTTGTTTAATCTGATCCCGTGGGGCGCATCCGAGAAGCGTATCAGAAAGTTTTCCAAATCCGAATGGTGGGAGGTTTTCATATCCCCATCCCAAATCATTTTTCTGACTGCTACCTACCCGAGCCAACATCGCACTCTTAGGTGGGCTCTGCAGTCACATGTATAATGTACATGGCCTAACCATCGCGATTCATAGAGGCCACACAAAAGCGATCACGTAACATCAGAATTGCTTCCTCGTTTGTCCGATCAAAGCTGTGCAATACGGTCCAGATAGTGACGCTCAAACACCGATAGACTGTGTTTGTTCTTCTCATTGTAATAAGCATGTTTCTGCACTATGTGTTAAGCTCGGTGGGTTTGCTGCGTCATACACTCAACCGGTATCAGTTAAGTGAATACCGGGTCGATCTTTCACTTGGTTTCCAATACACACTGTCCGCGATTTGTCCACCAACTGGCAAAACCAGTCCACATTCTCTATTCGTATGCAATTCGGAGTTGGGCAAATTCCAGTCCTGTGGCAGTGATTGACACGTTCGAGCTATAAACCTCATACCCCACGTAGTCCCCGATATTACACACATCATTACGTGATGACCAATAGAAGGAATGCATCTCTTCCCATAGTCACGATGGTCTACTTACTGTTCCGTTAAAGGAACCAAAAACTCAAACACTGGGAATTGGTGTTACCAAGTTCAGGAGTCGAACATGGGAAGGCCGTGCTATTGAGGTCGACAACAGCAATTCGCCATCAAAGGTTACACGCGCATTCCAATATTGAGAAAAGCATGTAACTTATCTGGATTTTCACTCCTTTCAGTTCAGTTCAGTTTTTACAACCATTAACCATGCACTTTCGTGCACCGATTTTGGTTGCTGTCTTTTGCTGCCCCACTTGGATAAAAGAGTCTAATGTTGCATGCAAAGCCCATATCAGACAGTCTTCCACTTGGAAGCACATGGACGCCGCTATCATCGCACGAAAACTGACTGTTTCCAGAAACACCTACACTACAATACTGAAGACGAAAGACAAGGATTGAACATCGTTCAAAAAAGCCACAAGCACGATCCCAGTTTCGGCTGTAAGTGCAAGGGGAACGCTATATTGGGGCAAACTCTCCCAGCACATCTTGTATGCGATTCAGAAGGAAAGACAGCCTCAGAGTGCACTGCGGTCGATTGAATTGAAGGCCACTTTTAGTTCAAGGACGATAGAAATAGTTGGCCTAAGGAAATATGTCTTTCAGAAGTTGCTTCAACAGTAAAGATATAGTCGATGCATCTGCGACTCGATATGAAACCACCTCGGTCCTCGCTAGAACAGCATATGCTCGGCAGAGGACGTTACTGTCGAGAAAATTCGAGGCGATGATTGATCAAACTCTGGGTTTTACAAGAGGATCTGTTTCCCTTTTATGAGTTGGAACTGCGAAACGTTGAGACAGCTCTATTTTGCAGGTAGATTTGCAACTGCTGTTTACAGTGAACTGTGTATCAGGAATTTTGTCAGTGACAGATGATGAATATTCTAACTCAGTATAATGTCTAAATATTACGTCTTTCCTTTATATACTCTGTCAACTTTTGTTGTAACAAAGTCCTCATATCCGCCTATCCACTTACTTTCAATAGTTTGAATTGTTTTTTTTCAATTTCAGATTATGGGTGACACATGCACCCGCGGTTGTCGTTTCTGTTCTGTGAAGACATCACCACGTCCTCCACCTCTCGATCCGGAGGAGCCCGCGAACACAGCAGAAGCCATCAGCCGCTGGAATGTAGACTATATTGTCATCACTTCGGTGGATCGAGATGACCTGCCTGACGGTGGAGCAAGTCACATTGCCGAAACAAGTTCGTTCTCCCTTTCCTTCCTTTGGGCTTTTTGTTCACGTCCAATTGCATCCTGATTCCCTGAGTACACTAAACCTATACAACGGCTATTAGAACACAAGTTAACAAACAGACTTATCGGTGTTTTATCGACCGGTTTCAGGTTGACGGAACATGAGCTAGATGTGCAAAGATCAACACCAAGACTTCGGCTGTGTTCAATTGAGATAATGTCACTGTGACAATTGATTTATGTGGACTGTGTCTGTGTGAATGAATGAGAGCTACCTAAGAGTGATTACATCACTCGTCGTAGACCACGAAATACCGAATGCCATTGGGTGACTTATAATGGGAATGTGTGAGCCAATTTCAGTTACCTCAGTGCAGTCGATAGAATTCGAATCTTGGTATCTGTCGATGACAACTTTCCTTTGATCGTGCTAAGAATAAAGGGAGCCTCGTGCATATTGACTGTGACTAGACTCAGGTAATTGGTTGTTAATCTCCGTTGCTCTGATCCTTGTTATTCAGCAACCTTCCCTCTTAACTTTATTTACGTATAATTTCACGCACATCTTAGTCTGTATGCCAGACGATTATCGGTACAATAACCGTTAAAACGAGGAAAAAGTTCAATGATTTACTCGAGGGCGTGATACTGTCAGATGTCCCAGACCAAAGCGGGTGAATCTTTTTCGGAGAGTTCTCAACCGGAGCCTTTGACTAACCAAAGTCTGATCGGCGAGACAGCGGGGCGTACTGTGTAAACCTCAGTTCATTGAGCGCCGTGTTTAGTTCGTCGGATCACACACGCCCTTGGGATGAGGTCAAATGTCCAAAGTGTCCAGCACACCACAACCCCCATTGGAGCCGGTGATTATTATCTTAACCGGATAGATATGCGTATGTGTGGTTCGTTTGAATTCACTGTCTCAGTTATAACCCCGAGTCTAGGCTTTTCATCCTCCAACTTTGGTGGGGAAACTCCTCCACTATCGGGAGGTAGTGAGTAGGGCTTCCTCAGTAGATGCTATTTAATACGCTTGGTCGCATTGGAGAATTTCACGAGGTGCAAGGGAAGGGTAACCAGCCGTAACCCTAGTCACCTACCCCCGACCATACTGAGGCCTTCGGAGCTAGACCCGCAATCCGTTTCCGCTTTTATCTCACTCCCGTTCCATGTTTCTAATGTGGAGTCTTCAATCGGTCTATGGAACACTGAAAACAAGTTTGATTGTTCACTTGTTTTGGTGCGATTCAATGATGGTTCCGAAACCACATTATGCACCAACTGGTGTACGTTTTCCTTCGGGCAGATTATGTAAGTAATTTGATCATTAACGAGTTAAGCCTCATACCACACAAAATGCATCCATATCTTTCTCTTGACTCCACAGTTCATCAAATCAAACGTCGTAAACCATCCATCCTCGTCGAGTCGTTGGTACCCGATTTTCAAGGAGATGAAAAATCCATTGCCGAAGTTGTGAATGCTGCGCCCGAAGTGTACGCACACAATTTAGAAACCGTTGAATCGTTGCAAAGGTCAGTCCGATTCGCCATCCTCTCTCCCCACCCGCACCCCCTCTATCCACCATGTTCCATTCAGCTGTCCCAATCTCCACCCCCCCCCGTCATACCTTTCTGTTTGCA